GCTGAAGCGGGCAGGTGAGCAACTACTTCGGGCACGTTGCTCGCCCACTGTCGTATATCAAATCCTCCCTGAATGAGTAAATCTTTCATCCGGTCGATGAGCTGTTTTGCTTCTTCTGGGTTGAACAGAGACTGTAAACAATTATCCACGTAGAAGGCTGTGTGGACTGAGTCACAGATGTCTTTGTGGGTTTCTTTGTGCTCCTTAGCATGTCTCTTTAGGGCGAACGTAGCACAGCAGGGGCTACATGTCGTTCTGAAGGGCAAAACTCTCCACTCATATATGTCTGGGGGCCGATCCGTTTCACAATCCCTCCACAGAAACCGTAGCAGGGGACAATCCTCTGGGAGCAGCCAAACCTGATGAAACATGGCTTTGATATCTCCACTCACGGCTACAGGGTGTTGAAGGAAGCGGAGTAATACCCCCAGCAGAGTGGGCCCCATGGGAGGTCCTGGTAAGAGGCAGCGGTTCAGGACGGACCCCTGAAACTCAAACGAACAGTTGAAGACCACTCTAGCCTTATTGTTGTAATGTACTATGTGGTGCGGTACATACCATGACTCAGAAGAGCTATGTGTCTCATCTGGGCTCAGCTTAGCAACATAGCCAGACTCTACTAACCTGTGGATCTCCTGGTTGTATGTATGGGTCAGATCAGGGTTCTTGGCCAGCTTACGTTCAGTAGATCTGAGGAGGCCCTTTACTTCTTCAGGGGAGACACACAGACGTGGAAAGTCTCTTCTTCTCAGTAGAGGAGTGGCATATCTCTCGACACCATCTACTGGGACTCTGAGGGTCTTTGTTTCCAACGTAGCCACTGCCTCTCTGTCCTCCTTTGACCGTGTGACCTCCTTCTCTGTCCTACAGGGGGGAACATCTAGTTGCCACAAACGCTTCACATCTTGATGCAGGGCCTCTGCAGGAGAAAGACACATGTTCAGGCACTGCAGCTCCCCCTCAGATGTAGGCATACTACTGGCTGGCCCCTGGATGGCCCATCCGAGCTTGGTGCAGACGGCTACTGGCCCTTTAGATGACCCCCTAAGGACAGGACGGACTGGGGTGATGAGATGAGCATTATCTGAGCCAAGTAGCACCAAAGGTTGGACCTGGTTAAATCCTTTGATCTGGACTTTCTGCAAGTGAATATACTTCTTCTTCAGCTGTTCAGCTGGACATGACTGAGTAGCTAGACTCAGCTGGTCGGCTGTGAATGCATGTGTTACTTTGTACCTCACTTTGGGCTTAGCTCTCGGTGACACCTGAAATGAGACAAAGCCTCCCTTCATCTGGATTACATCTCGACGGATAGTTCGCAGTGCGAGTGTTGCTTCCTCCTGCTCCAAACCTAGAGATTCAACTGCCGCAGGAAGCACAACCGTCTTTTCTGAGCCGTCATCATGCACAGCAAATGTGTCGAGAGATTTGCCACCATGATGTAGTTGAATTGGTACTACTTTAAGCATGACTCGACCTGAGTGACTTGAATAGTCTAGGTAAACCATACTAATACTCACAGTTAGTATGTTAGGGTCCCGCTTCTTGGCCTCAACCAGGTCATGGAGCACCGACAAATGCTGGTCACCACAGGTGCTGCACGGCTTCTTTAGAGTACACTGCTCTGGAGAATGTTTACGGCCACAGCGCCAGCATTTGGCCTTCTCGGTAATCCAGGTAGCCATAGCTTTGAGGTCTAGCCCTTTAAATCCATCACAGCCTTTCAGATAATGCTCTGTCCCTTCACAGTATGGACAATAAGGTTTGAACTTCTGTCTCTTCTTAGGTTGGACTGTCGGATTGGGAGCTGTAGATCCTCCCCCTGGTCTTAGCTTGGCTTGGGCTGGATTTGGGCCGTAGTAAATGGAAGCAGATTTGCTGTGTGACTTGGGCCCTGCTAAGGCTTTGAGTAGGTTCTTCTCTGGGCGTGGCCTGTCAGGGGGCATGTGAGAGGCTTGTCTGGATAGCTGAAGGACCTGGGATTTCCGTTCAAGCCATTCTGAGAAGTCGTACATATTGTATGTTCGGCTGCTGCCAGTGCGGATGATCCCCCGGGTAATACAGTACTCGATGAAGCTGTCTCTGTAGTTCAGGGGGAGTTTGGTAAGCAGTCTGTCCACATGTGAACCACAATGAAGCTCACTGGCTGCTACTTCATCCATGGTACTGAGAAGCCCGACCAGGCTGGACACGGACAGGGACAGGTCCTCAATAGCTTGAGAGTCTCCTGTTCTAATAGGGGGGCAGTTCAATATAGTGCTAAGCTCACTTTGGACTAACTGCCTTGGCTGTCCATACCTCTGCTGTAGCGCCCTCATTGCACTAGTATAGGGAGTGCGGTCATGGATGTAGCGCTTGGCTACCTGTAGGGCGCTGGGATACTCTAGATGATCTAATAGGACCTGAAACTTGTAATCTTCTCCCAGATGAGAATGTGGCCCTAAGGTGCTGTCCAGCCCTTTCTTTAATAAGGCGAAGTCACTCTCTCTGCCCGTCCTGA